AGACCTTGTGTTTGTGAGGCAGGCAGCAGAACCACTGAGCTAAATCCCCAGCCCAATGGTAAAACTATTAAAACGACACAGCATTTCGCTTAACAGCATATGAACATAGTTACCTGCTTTGTGTTTTCTTTTTGATTGGATGTTTGATTTTAAGCATGAAGGGACTGACATTACACCAGGAAATTGGTCTTTGTCATTGCTGTATTATAGTCCCGCACTCCACACCATCGGAGACTACTTCTAGGACCCTTCACCCCCAGACACCCTAATCTGAGGATGCATAAATGATGAGGTATTTGCATAAAACCTATGCACAATCTCCACTCCTTAAATCATCCCTAGATTATTTATAACACCTAATGCAATGTGAATGCTACAGAGATAGTTACCGTGTTGTTTAGTGGCAAGGATAGACAAATGTTAATATTTGGAAAATACGGGTGAGGGTGGAGATACAAGTTTCTGGACTGTATCTGAAATTTTTCTGTAAGTCTGAAATTATTTCTGAATAAATTTTTTAAAATTATATATCAGCACCTTGAAGTAAGGCCAAAAAACAAGTGGCCTGCTTTGGTTCCGGGCAGCACAGGGAGCAAGAGATGAGGACAATGGGCCAACTGAACTCAGTTTTTCCAGCAGTGTGGGGATCATGAGTATTGGTTGTAAGTACCGTTAACTCTAGTAACTCCATATGTGTTAAGCTTCTCCAGTTGAGCAGGTAGAGTGTTTCCTTTGTGGAAAAGTGTTTCCTTTGTGAAAGTTACAGTTTCTTGTCTCTGACCTTTAGATGTGTGGTTGTCCGGGTTACTACTACTCACGGTGGGTTGTTTTGGTGAACCTGTTTGCTCTTTTCCTGTGTGACCTTTCAGTTACTATGGTAAACCCATCCCATAATAGTTTGTGGTTTTTTTGCTTTAAAAGGCCGGTGCTTGCCGGCATTAAACGCCGCCTTGATCAGACTCTTGTCTTGGCGTCCTTCCTTTCTCTCTGCCCCATCTCCACCCCGCTGCTCTTTCAGGTTTGAGACACTGCTGGACAGTGCTCTGCGTCGCCGGCTCGCGACAAGTGGCGCCCGAACAGGGACCTGGAATTGAAGCAGCGATCGGTGAGCAATCCGTGAAGCCTGCTGTCAAAAAGGGTTCGGCCGAACCGAAACAAGGAGGACACCGCTGTCTGGAACGCCCGGCGGGGAAAATCCTCGGAAGAAGCAGGTACCAATGGGGCACATAGGATCTAAGACAAAACTCAGCATAGCAATTCAGTCTTTACTCAGGGAGAAAGGAATTAAGGCAAAGAAAAAGTCATTGTTTCAATTTCTTGATTGTGTGAATGAAACTTGTCTATGGTTCAGTGATGTAGAGGAAATAACTGATGATGTTTGGGATAGAGTAGGAGGAAAATTAAATGAAAAATTAAGGAGTCATAATTCTGACAGTGTACTAGCCGTTACATTTTCTTTCTGGTCTTTAATAAATGAGTGCTTATAAAAAAGGGATGTACAAGGCTTAGATAAACACCTTCGCCTACATAGTGTTAACCCCTCAGATGGGAACACAAGCTCTCCGCACGGGAGTATTTGGACCCCTTCTGAAAGGCAGTGTTGGGATCATCCTAGGAAGGAGTAGTTGGATTTTAAAAGGGCTTCATATTCATCCAGGAGTCATAGATGCAGATTATACGGGTGAAATAAAAATATTAGCTTCATCACCTGATGGCATTACTGTTATCTCTGCTCAGGAGCGGATAGCACAGATATTGCTTTGTCCTTATATAGAACAAGGAAGGTTTTTATTTCCTCAAAATAGGCAAAATAGAGCCTTTGGGTCTTCTGATGCATTTTGGGTCACGCCTATCCAACAAGATAAACCTGAATTAACAATTTGGATTAATAAAAAACAATTCAAGGGAATTTTAGATACTGGAGCTGATGTGAGTGTGATAGCTCAACAACATTGGCCCAAGAATTGGCCTGTCCAAGATGCGATTATAGGGTTAACTTGCTCTTTTAGGTTAATGGGCCAGATCTTGGGGCTACAGAAGAATATATGTTATGGGGTTATAATTTGGTTTAGTCCTTTTCTTTGAAAAGTTTTCACTTTTAATTGTGAAGGTGAAATATTTAGCATGATTTGTAAGCTCAGACATGTCTTCTTTTTGTGTTTGAACTTCTTGATGAGGTTCAGATGTTGTGATAGCTATTATTGCTGCCAGAAAAGCACAGAATTCTGCTTGTGTTTGAGGGTTAGAGAAGGAATTAACATTTTGAGGTAATATGCAAGGACGTTCAGTGTTGAAGATAGAAACCTAATTGTTTTAGAAGATAAGGTAAGGTCATTACTTATATCTGTTTAGCTACTATAGCTACTCTTAACTATTTTAATTGTTTCTAAGATTATTTTGTATAAGCCTGCTAGTTTTAGTATGTGTATACTAGTGTAACTTCTTATGTATGGTATAATAGCTTTTGACACACAAATTGTATGGATTTGTAGGATTTCTTTTAAATTATTTTATTGAGATAATCTTGTATATCATTATGTGATACAGTGTAGTATTTTATTACATTTACATATTGTGAAATGATCGACTCAGGATGCTTAGGTTCTCTATCATTTCAAACATTTATCATTTCTTAGTGATGAGAACATTCAGAATCCTGTCTTGTAGCCATGTTGAAGTACTCTTCAGTATTGTTGACTATAATAATCAGTGTGATAGAATGCCAGAACTTATTCTTCCCATCTGGCTGTGACTTTGGCTTTGTATCTGTTGACCAGCCTGTCCCTCCCCACACACACTCCAAGCGAGGGTATGTTCTAAACTGACTATAGACCAAAATAAAGAACAAAATAGTAGTTTGTTATAGAAGGCTGATAGTAAATGAGATAGAAAAATATTAGGAAAGCTATAAGTAAGAGTTGTACTTTTAACATGAAAGGTTTTTGTATGTTCCTCTTGTCTTTAGCTAAGAATATAGAGAATGTTTATGGAAATGATTTATAAAATGCTTGCTTGTTGGTTTCAAGTTTGTTATAAAAGGTTTACATTTACAGTCAAGAAGACTATTCATTCCTTTAACCCTAATTCTACCAGAGATCTCTGTCAATTTTGATCTGCAAAAATTTTGACTAGTCATAACAAAAAGATTTTATAATTCAATTGGCCGAAACCATCTGAGTCCACTCGTTAAAATTGTCTTATATGTTTGTCTGTCTTAAGTGTTACATGTTTGTCTGTCTTAAGTGTTATATGTTTGTCTGTCTTAAATGTTTAAAGATGTTTGTATGTTTTTGATCAGAATGACGTCAAATGCAAGTGGATTGTTGGTTTCTACAACCTGGCTTTATAGGATCAAATAAAAAACTTAAAAGATAATTGAATACAACCTTTAAGTTTGGATACGCTCCTGTTGGTGAATAAAGAAGCAGCTGCTCAGAAAATTTATTCTGATCTTTGTTCACTAATGGAAGCTACCAAAATAATTTTCATAGCCTTATAAAAAGATATGCCTTGTTAAATATGTTGTTAAAAATGTCTATATTGGTTATCATCAAAGGTCTGAATTGTAAATATGTTATTGTACCATGTTTCTGATGGTTATCTTCACAATATATTTTCTATTTAAAAAAAAAAAAAAGGGAAGATCCTGTTGATACAAAGCTACATTTCAGGACATAAGAATTCATGTCTGGTATACAGGATGTATTTATATTGTTTGACCATGCAGGTTTTCCAGCATATTGTTTGTGATGGTGACCTTTTGGTCTAGGTATTCTCCCTTCTCTTCTGCTCCACCTACTTATGGTTACAGATATGTTTATAGACCTACCACTATCCCTGAACAGCTTGATGCTGGGTTTCCACTGAGGAGACTGGATTGGGACCCCAACACTGGAGCAGCAGAGAGAACTCTAGGATGTGTCTTGGTGCACCAGCAGAGACTTTATTGTCCAGAACAAGGATTTAATGGGACTGGTGAATTAATAAGACATCTCAAGGGTTTTTGGACTGGTCACTCGAATATTCCATGGACTTAAGCTTGTCTGTAGGACTTTGGTGAGCAGATTCACGTTTTCCTCAAACCAACATTTGGAAACCTGCTGCTGCATTGGGAGAAATACGCTTATTGTCAGATGTCAAAGTTACTAGCCTTAGTTTGAATGTTTTTGGCATGGGGCCTCTAATATGTGAAATATCATAAATACTGTGTTATCTCAAATCAGGTTTATATACAGCACAAAACATTACATGCGCTCATGGCCCTTAAGGAAGGGTCCTCTGAAAATTTGGGCATTTACCTCGCTCAGATAAAAAGAGAGCTTCAGTGAGGGTCCAGAAAGTCAAAGACGGGTAAGAGGAAAAGGTTTGACTGATCAACCTAAGACAGGGGCTTCTGTTAAATCTTCATCATGTTATAGGCCTGTAAGACAGATGACCCCAATGACGGGTAAGACAGCTAAATGCTTTTCCCAACCTAAGACAGGCTCGGACATGCCTATACTTTCTCTTAAGCTTTTTCTTGCTATGGAACCAAAGTTATAAAACAAAAAGGGAGGAATTGTGGGGATCATGAGTATTGGTTGTAAGTATTGTTAACTTTAGTAACTCTATATGTGTTAAGTTTCTCCAGTTTAGCAGGTAGAGTGTTTCCTTTGTGGAATTCCTGAAAGTTACAGTTTCTTGTCTCTGACCTTTAGATGTGTGGTTGTCCGGGTTACTACTACTCACGGTGGGTTGTTTTGGTGAACCAGCTTGCTCTTTTCCTGTGTGACCTTTCAGTTACTATGGTAAACCCATCCCATAATAGTTTGTGGTTTTTTTTTGCTTTAAAAGGCCGGTGCTTGCCGGCAATAAACGCCGCCTTGATCAGACTCTTGTCTTGGCGTCCTTCCTTTCTCTCTGCCCCATCTCCACCCCGCTGCTCTTTCAGGTTTGAGACACTGCTGGACAGTGCTCTGCATCGCCGGCTCGCGACACAGCAGCACTTTACAAAAGGAAGAGGAAAGCACAGTGGTAGCTAGAGAGCCTGTACACAAATGATAGACGTGTTTTCAAAACAGCAGAAGCTTGAGAATATTTTAGTACAACGTGTCTAAGGCAGCAAACATTTTTGCACAGAAATGAACAGATATATCCTATGAAATAATGTTTTATTTTAAATTAATAAAACCCTACCCACCGCTTCAAATACCAGCTGCGAGACCTGGCGAGCTGCCGAAATAAAAAGAACACAGCACTACGGAAAACAACTAGCTAGCTTTGGACAAATCATTTTACTCCTTGGAATTAAGGTTCCTCATTTCTAAAATGAAGCGGTTAAAAGAGATTATCCCTGGCGAGAAAACACAAAGCCAGCATTTAGCAGCCGGGGCACGAATGTGTCCTTACAGCTGATAGCGGCGTGGCCAGGAAGCTCCCAGTACCACATCCCAAAGCGAACAACAAAACAGCCCGCTTTATAGTTCTGTCTGCCACTGGACAGTACCAAGTAATAAAATCCGAATCAGTAATGCTGTACACAAACAGGGCTTTAAATATCTGTGTAGCTCTCACTCGGGCCCCAGCATTTAAAGCTACACAATAGACGATATATACAAAAGCTGTGAGGTGGGGTGCATACGTGATCGCTCCACGGAGTGGGAAAAACCACTGTCTGTAGACTGCGGCCAAACTACTGAAAGACAACCACTGCGAACATGCAGGCGCGGAGCTAAGGGTGGAGGTCTACGAAAGTCGGCAAACTGTCCCTGTAAAGGGCCAGAGAGTAAAAAGTGTTTTAGATGTTTGTGAGCACATGGATTTCTGTCACGTATTCTTTTGCTTTTTAATAACAATGCTTTAAAAAAGTCAAAACCAGTGTTAGCTCACAGGTCTTAAAAAAGAAGGCTGAGAACCTTATGCAACCCCAGCTAGAAAACAAAAAGGTCGCACAATACAATCCATAAGGAGAGGCCTATTTTTCACATATAGGCAGGTAAACAAAGGTGGTCTATCTACATTAAATGCAAATGTAGCTCGAATGAAATCAGACATGAGGAAAAACTTATACTGGATATGCAGGCAGGTAAGAAAAACGAAGTTAACACAAAGATTACATACTCTGGTGTGTATACCGGTAGCCAGTAGACTAGTCTTCCGCCCAACACGAGGGTCTCTGCTGCAAAGTTTAACAGGTCAAAAAACATATCGCTCAGGTGATAACTCAAGGACACTGGAACGTGGCTCTCTGGACTGCACAAAGAAAACAAAATTGAAAGCAGTAACCACGTTAGTATTCTCTAAGTCAGCTAGATAGAAGCTCCACACTTCTCAAAGGAGCAAGTCCCAAACGGGTCAACCTCACTTACCATTTTTCCATCCCCTTAGGTATTTCCTTCTGTGAACCTGTTCTTCTTGTAGATTCTCTGATGCCGTATGGAGCTAGAGAGAAAACACAAGTAACACGGTCAGAAGTCCCCGTGTCACAGCGATGGCCTCAGACCTGGGAGGGGCCGCTGGGCTCCAGACGCACGGCCCATGCAACGGAAGGTCGATGCCCTAAAAGGCACGGTGAGGCCGCAGAACTGGCACAAGAGTAAAGCGGGCTCAAAAGATAGCATCACTGAACAGAGCAGCTAACTCTGGAGTAGATCCTGAGAGAAAAAGGTATGCCATAAATGGTATGACTGGGTCGACCAACAAAACGGGGTGACAAACTGTACCATAAAGCATTGTATTAATTTACTAAAGCTGAAAACTGGCCCTGTTCTTAGAGATACACACTAAAGTGTACGACTACCATGCATCCAGCTTACACTTGAATTGGTAAAAAGTGAAATCGTGTACTTTATATAAACATGCATATATAGTGGGAGAGCAAATAAACTGCTAATAAAAATTCACCCAATTTTTATAGTCATTCATACTGCCAGGGAAATGCCTGGATAATTTTCTTTTCAGATTAACAAACATCTAACACACCGAAGAACTAGAGAGCTGAGAGAGAAGTCAAAAGGGCCACTATTGGGGGGTGGTTACCAGGGATCAAACTCAGGACCTTGCACTTTCGAGGCAGGTGCAGCACCACTGAGCTAAATCCCTGGCCCAAAGGGGTCACTATTTACAGCTATTTCCAAATACAACAAAGATGATGGATCTACCCTCAGATACACTGCCTAGGAAACCTAAGACCTCATGAGGTACAAAGTAAGTTCTCAGGTACACTTTGGATGTCCGTGGGTGTACAACACCCCTGATTCACAGAACCCCACATTTCTTAACACGTCTAGAAGAGATTCCGATGAAAACATGCACTGCAGCATCACAAAGGCTCACACACGGGGGAGTGTGGGGTATCTGACACTCTTAGTCCACCAATAACCAAGCGCAGTGGACAGAAACACAAATACACACCTCGGAAAAAGAAGGTGAAGGGAAACGCGAGGTAATAGGACAGGGTACAAGAACCGATGGGACGATAACGGATTTGTCTGCAAACAAAACGTTTGACTCTTTTATCAGTTACATTGGTAACCCGCCTCAAATCCTCCCCTTCGTTCTCAGGACGGAGGAAGCAGAGCAGGAGGGGTACTAGTACGGAATGGCGCTTCCTGTGCAGGGCCGATACGCTGTGTAGTTTTAGAAAGCTAATTCCACCCAAATGTTTATAGACAAAACAGTAATGACACACTTACGATCCGTGATGATTGCATCAAAATACGTGCCCTTCCTCCAGGAAGGTTTCGACGCGTCTGAGACCAGGATGTCCAGGTAATATTTCTCTAGCCCATACTGACGAAGGTTCGCCCTGATATTTTCATCCGGTCCTCTCCATTTCTGGTTCTTCCTAGTAGCCTTCCCTGAAGGAAAAGAAAAAGGACAGAAGAAAGTATTAGATCAAATGGAGCTTTATTTTCTGCTGTTTAGCAAATAATACTGTTTTTGTTCACCGAAACCCACATTTATTCACGTAAAATTTTTCACTTAAAGTCTTAACATATATAATTAAAGTTATTTTATTACAACTCATAAGCAATTATTTCATTTCAAAATACGTTTTGGGGGGTTGGTTTTTTTTGTTCTTTGGGGTTTTTGTTTGGCGATCGAACTCAGGACCTTGCACTTGTGAGGCAGGTGGCAGAACCACTGAGCTAAATCCCCAGCCAAAATATGTTTTGAACAGTGAGATGTACTGATACCCACCTGACCATTTCGTGTCCCCTTTCAAGTGAAACTGCCTTAAAACATGCATTCAATGCCTCCTACACACAAAGCATTTACTAGTAACACTCAGAGCTGAAAAGACCTGACTCCCTCCCCCAGCAGCCCACCGTCCTGTGCAGACCTGGCACTGGATCAGAGAAAAGGAGCAGAAATGAAGAAAGCTAACTCTGGAGGCGTCGCAGCTGTTGAGTACAGAGAAGGCAGCGCCTTCTGGACACAAAGCCCAACTGCCAGGCGGGGACAGAAGAGTTCGGAAGCTTCAAGCTCAGAAGACAACGTGGATGATTAATGCCCACGATTAAGATCAGAGAAACCAGGAGCAGAAACAAGCTCAGAGAGAATGTCTGAGAGGTGTAATCGTGGTACTCCTTGAGGTACTTGGCAGAACACCGACAGAGAGATTGGGCCAAGTCAATAGGAAGCTGAGGCTGGAGAGGAGAGACCTGTGTGCGAGGAGCAGATCAACAAGCCCTCTTGTTCATTTAGGTGCTAGCTACTTAAGAGTTTGCTTTCTAAACCAGGCGTGATGGTGCACGCCTGTTATCCCAGCACTCAGGAGGCTGAGGCAGGAGGATCACTGGGAGTTCGAGACCAGCATGGGCTACACAGTGAGTTCCAGGGCAGTCTGAACTACACAGTGAGACCCTGTCTCAAAAAAAAAAAAAAAAAAAAAAAAAAAAAAAAAAGTTAACT